GTGTCACATGTGTTTTAAGGATGACTGTGATGAGTATAAAATGTGTTTAAGGCTTTGATGGTGATGAGTGTTAAATGTGTTCTAAAGCTGGCTGTGGCAGTGATGAGTATTAAACATGTTTTAAGTAGATTCTTAGGAAGATAGATTCAAGGATGGCGGTGATGGAGTAGGGCAACAAGCATCAATTAAATAAAAAGAAATGATTGAAAGCAACTTTAAAATATTGTTTTAAATATGTTTTTATAGTTTTTTCTGAAGACTTCATTTCTACCATATCTACACACTCTTATGTATTAAGATAACATGTTAAATTACTTAAATCAGTTTCATATTGTGTATAGTTTCTTGTAAAATTAAAGTTGACAAATTTCAAGAGTTGTTACACTTAATACAAATAATCCATGGGCACAAATTTGCCACAGCTTTCACAGAGTCCTTTACCACTCAACTGAATGATCATTCTTAACAATGATTTTGATCTTGGGAATTTGCAAAGTTATATGAAACTATTTAAAGTTACTCTCTTGTAAGATATTACATCTAAAAGAGCTAACATCTGATTCTGACTTAAACTAAAGTATTTATTTACATCCTTCTAATTAATACTAAGATTGTGGTTCAAATGAACACACAAGTAGATTTTACAAGCACCTATTTCAAAACATAAGAGGTATTTTGATGATATCTTTGAAAACTTTGTTTTTGATTTGTAATAAAGTTGTTAACATTAAAGCATTTAGTCAATAATAACAATTTTTTACTGTTTTTACTTTTTATTTTCAAATGTACAAAATCATATCAATCCTTTTAAAACCAATTTTAATAATTTTATTATTTAAATTCTAATTTTGAACAAATGCATGTTTTGTTGCTTAATTTTTAATCAATAAACATTAGGCACAAGATCAGCACCAGATCAATTAAAGCTAACTTAAATTTTTTTTTTTTTATGTTAAGTAAATTTAATAATTAGTTTTTTTCATCTGTCATCCAAAAAATGTCTTGATTTTGATACTGTAATTTTTAGTTTTGGTGTCAAAACCAAAAATTGCAGTATGTTTACAGCATATAAATACTTTTGTATCAGGCTATAATACAGCATTCAAAATTGCAGTCTGTCAACAATCAATAATTGGAAGAAAATAATGATTTTTAAATCTCTCAAAATCAATTCTGATCAATCTCATTTATATGGCAAGAGTTGCAAATCAAACCTTTATTAGAATAAGTATAAATTTCTGTAAAAAACTAGATGCAAATTGTAAATTAGTATAAAATTAGTTAGTTATTATATGGAAACAATCATTTCTTTTGAGTGGAAAAAATATACTTAAAAAAGCTATGTGTAGAAAGCAAGTTAGTTCAGAGTCACCATTACAGTTTAAAAAATAAAAGTATTAATAAACAATTTGGTTTAGTTAAATAGTGTTTTCTGATTTTGAAAAAAAAACAAAGCATTAGGCATATTAAATTCTAAATAAAATAGTTTATTTGAAAACTGGAAAAAAGGACATTTTGTCATAATATGGAAAGATGAAAAATACTTAATAAAAAAGAATATTTTAAAAGTTTTATTAAAATTTTTTTTTTAAATGCTAATGTATAAAATTAAGACTTCTGTCTGGAAAGTTGTGGTGCAAATTTTTCCAATATTTTAGCCATGAGTTGTGGGATGTTTTATTTTATTTTTATTTTTTTATCACTTATCATTTTTTATCTTTTTATGAAAGCAAATGCAGCAATACTTTAAAATTGGGTAATACATTAAACAATTTAAAAAATTAAAATTATGAACAATTTTTGTTGCATTGGGTCTCCCACCCACGGATTTAAAATTCATTTGGTTTATCTTTTTTTACTATTTCTATTTTAAGAGTTGAACTAAGAAAACATGTTTTTTCTTTTATTCAATGTTTTTACTTAGTTACTTTTTATAATTAAAAGTAAATAAAAAATATTTGTAAAAATATATAGTAACATGTTTTTGAGCTTAAAAAAATTATGACATTTACTTCGGGATGCATTTCTGAAAAAAATTAAGTGTCATAATTTTTATTTCAATTTTCACATTTCCCAGGTCTATGTAACTGGACGGCTCCATTGGTTATTTTTTGCGATCATTGTATTGCATAAACAATTAACAATAAAAAAAAACATGTTTTTGAGCTTAAAAATATTGACATTTACTTTCATCAGGATACATTTGTAATAAAAATTAACACATTTTTTATTTCAATTTGTTATATTTTCGGATTCTACCTACAAAATCATTTTATAATTGTTTTGCTGTTTAAAAAATTTTTAAACTTTTCTTTGAAAAAAAAAGTAAAATTTAAATTTTATTAAATTAAAGAAAATAAATTTTAAATCTTTTATTCTGGAAAATTAGTCACCCCTGCATTTGTAAATACTTTGCAGTAATTGGTTTATAAACAACATAGAGGGGCGTATAAAAATCTTTCTATTTTTGTCTTTAAATAAATTTAAAATCAATTTTTGGCTGGATGGTAATTTTTTTTTACTCAGTGTTGTGGCTATATATATATATATATATATATATATATATATATATATATATATATATATATATATATATATATATATATATATATATATATATATATATATATATATATATACATATATATATATATATATATATATATATATATATATATATATATATATATATATATATATATATATATATATATATATATATATATATATATATATATATATATATATATATACACACATATATATATATACATATATATACATATATATATATATATATATATATATATATATATATATATATATATATATATATATACATATACACATATATATATATATATATATATATATATATATACACACACATATATATATATATATATATATATATATATATATATATATATATATATATATATATATATTTTAATAATGTTTTTGATTTTGATTTTTATTCATTTTGTCTTTAAAGTTGTTGGTAAAAATAAATAATAGATTATATTAATATTTTGAATTATTAAATATTTTAATAAAAATAGCTATGGTGGTTTAAAAGAAATTCATGGTTTTCATAAATATTCATCAATGTTAATATTTCTATTAGTGAGATATAATGAAATATTAAAAATTTTAAAAATAATGAAACTATCACACTTAAGGGCCATCCATAAAGTACATTTATACAGGCTTGGACAGGAATGGCGTGCGATCGCACTCTGTAACTGACCACGCTAATAGTTTTTTTTCTTTACAACTTGACCACAGCTATTTTGATGTTTTTAGAATTTAAATGCAATAAAAAGTGTTACGTTATGAATATCTTTTAATCGTTGATCTTTTCTAAAGTTTTTATTTTACGCGAAAGGCTTTAAAATAAAAGCATTTAATTATTTTTAATGATTGTTTACATAAACGCGTGTGTAAATTAATAAAAAAAGTTTTTATAAATTATTTTTTGTGTAGGCATGGTAAATTTAAACGTTTGAAACTATTTTATTCATATTTCTTCCTAAAAATCTTTCAAAGCATTAATTTTAGAAAGTTACTTAATGAATAAGTTCGAAACCTTTTGCGACAACTAGCTTTTACACATTTTATGTGAATTATACAAGAATATAAAATAACTTTATTTACTTATATAAGTATGCATTTTGTTGATTAATCAAAAAGTTTTGAAGCATTTTGTAATGTTCTTACAACTAATTTTTATAACTTACGATTTTTTTAAATTTTTTACACATTTTATTTTTTGAAAAGCAATTTTTTTTTTGTATTTATGATAGGAATTAATGAGTTGAAATCATTTATAATAATTTTTATGTTCGATAAGTGAAGCGCTTAATAATGAAGTTACAATGCTCAAATTAAAATTAAATTAAATTGCTTGTTGGCAGTTTAATTTAAATTGCAAGCACATTTTATTTATTTTTTTCCTATTTTTACAATTAAAAGAGTCGGAAACCTTTTTTTTTAACTCGACATTAATTAGAGCATGAAATTATTAAAAACTGCTATTTTAAAAAGTCTAGATTATTTTTTTAAACAGTTTTTTTTTGCAACTTTTTTGAAAAAATAAATATTTATACAATTTAAAAATATTAAATACAACACTTTTAAATAAATTTGATAAAAATTATTCATTTATTAAACAATCGTTAGTGTTAATTTGTTAATTTAGAAGCGTTTTGCGTAACTTTAATAAAGAGTTTAAAAAGATTTATTTCAAATGCGATTAAAATCGTAAAAAAAAGTTTCGCTTGGAGTTTAAGTTTTTATTTTTTGTTTTTATTTATAAAATATAAATATAAATTTCTTTTTTGTAAAGATTTTTTTTCGTTTCTTTTTTTTTAGGAATTTTTCTTTCGTTAAATTTTTTTTTAATTTCCTCTTAGTTTTAGTTTAGCTTAGCGTTTCTACATTCAGCGCATTTCTGAAATATTTAAATCATCAAAACACATATACAATTGAGGTCAAGTTGTCAAGAAATAAAATCATTTGCGTGGTCAGTAATAGCGCTCGATCGCATGCCATTCCTGTCCAAGCCTGTATACAGGTATGAGGAGAGGTTTCCCAAAAGCGCACAAATGTGTACAAGGAGGAATGGAGGGGTGTTAAAGACAGAGAATGTATGCGGTTTGACTATCTCTCCTAAACATGATTTTTTTTTTTAAATATTGAATTTTAGGTGTGTAACAAATCAGAATTGTGTTTTTTTTTCTGACTTCAATTTTTTTTTTATTTCTTTATAAATAAGGAGTACTAAAAAAAAAATTGAATTAATTTTGAAAAAAAAAAATGCTTACTTACAAAAGTGTTCAGGTTCATACAAGGGCGGAGGGGGTCCTAAATCAGTGATTTTATTGCATACGTACTTTATGGATGCCCCCTTAAATCAGCTTATGCTATAAACAAATTATTCTATTGGCAATAGAGAAATAATAATTTTTGGGATACTTACTTCTTTTCCATTAATACAGGACTGGTGAGTTAATGAATCGTCTTGCTTCTGATGCTGAAGTTATCCAGAATGCTCTTTCTGTAAGATTTGCATTTTTTTGTATGCACTTTAAGCTTAGTTTCTAAACTCTTTCTTTTTTAAAACTATTGTTTTAAGGTTATTGTCTCGACTTTGTTGAGAAATTATCAGTTTGTATAGAAGTCCATTTTATCCTATAAAGGTTAATATCTCAATGTTATTGCGTTATGCATTACAAATTATTGGATCGATAGTTGTTATGTTAGTTACATGTCCAAGATTGGCAGGATTACTTCTTGCTATTATTCCAATTGTTGGTATTGCTGCCCAAAGATATGGTAAATATAGAATTTTTATATTTTAATGTTACTGAAAAATTTGCCTAATATACTCATATGTCATAAAAAAAGGCAAAAAGCTATCACTAGGCATTTCCATTGCATGATTTTTTTCCCTATGTTTTTAATATTAGAAGCTTAGACTTATTGCAATATGCATACTATTATGATTTTTTTAAAGAACAACTACAACAAATTTTATTTTTTTATTTTAAGGCTGAATGTTTAAATATGTATAATTTATCTTTTTCATTTTTTTTGTGTGTTTATGTTGATGATGTCAATAGTTTGAAAAATATTCACGCTATACTCTAGCTAGAAATATTTGATGAATGCTATTTCTCATCAAAAATATATTATATATATATTAATTTATTATATCATTAAATATGAGTTGTAGAGATATAATATTTCACTTAAAATACTAACAAGCAATTTGTTTTCTTAAAAATAGCTACATGAAAACAAGAAATTCACAACTTCCATGTGTGATCATTCATGAACTGTATGTAAATGATTGCTGTGACTTTATGATCAATAGTGCAAAACTGAAACTTTCTAGAAATCTTTACTAATATCTAAAATAATATTAAAACAAGTATACTGCTGAAACTTATACTTTCTGATAAAAAACAAGTTTATCTAGTATCTAAAATTTCCTTTTTTCTGTTCCATATGCGATTCCTCTTTAAACTCATTTTTTTCTTTAATAACATTACTGATGAATACCTTTTTTATTTTTTTATTTATTAATTCATTTATTTTATTATTATATTTAAATTCTTTGTTTTCAAAATAGTTACATAGATTAAAATGAGAGTAAATTAGAGGTTTTCATTATTAGGAAAATAATAGACATTTAGGAATATAATAAACATAAAATAATAAAATTAAGAAAATAATAGGCAAAACGTGTTTCCATACGTGATTTTTTGAAAATGCCCCTCTGCTAAAATAGAGACATTTCTATGTAATATATTAGATATTTTCTATGCAATAATATTAATACTTGTATGTAATATGTTATTTATATCTTGTTTTTATTTTATATTTTAAATATAAAACAGATCTGTTAAGTCACCCTGTACCACTGGGACTAAACACCATTGAATGTCTAATTTATTTAAGTCTAAATCATCTAAATCGCTTAAGTCACCCCACTACTTATTAAGTTATTTAAAGATTCTTTTTTTTTAAGTTGACTATTACTGAATTGGTACACATAACATAAATGTGCATCATGATATCAACCACTCACTGCTTATATATTCAATAAAATAAAAATTTAATGTCATTCCAAATTACAGTAACTATTTATATAAAACACTTCTTTAACTTTAAAAATCATTTTGTGTTGTTTTATTTTAGGAGCATATGTTAGGAACATGCAGAAAAAGTTTCAAGATGATTTGGCTAACGCAGCAACCAACGCAGAAGAAACATTAAGTTCTATGAGAACTGTACGAAGTTTTTCACAAGAGTCGAAAGCTGAGCGGGATTATAGTAAAGGAATAGATGCTAGTTTCTTAGCTGGGAAAAAGTTATCAATAGCATCAGGTTTTTTTTTATCATTTTTAAAAACATTTTTAGATATCTGATTACTCTTAATGTTTTGAGTTTTTTTTATATCTTTAGTTTTATCCTGTTAAATAGGTTTAGTTAATTATTATTGTATTTAGGTTATTTCAATATGTTTGTTGGTGTGATTAGTCAGGTAGTTTTTAATATTTCTAATAAACTTAATGAAATATTTTAGAAATATTATATATACAATAATATTAACATGTATATATGTATGTTTGTATGTATGTATGTATAGATGTATGTATGTATGTATGTATGTATGTATGTATGTATGTATGTATGTATGTATGTATGTATGTATGTATGTATGTATGTATGTATGTATGTATGTATGTATGTATGTATGTATGTATGTATGTATTTAATATTGCTTTTGCATATAATTTTGTTAAATGGTTTGGATAAATTGCTTTTAGGGTACAATTGTTTTGGTATTGTGGTATGGCGGAAAGTTAGTCATTGATGGTGATATGAATGTTGGAGAGTTGACTTGTAAGTTGTATTTAGTTGAGTTTTTTTGAGTGTTTTAGTTATTATTTTTAGTTTTGGTTTAACTAATAGATTTGAATAAAACAAATTTTAGTTTATAAAATAAATTTTTCTTGAATTATTAATGTATTAATGTAATGTGTAAGAGTTACCTTTTAATTTCGTAACATTTTATTACCTTTTAATTTTGTAACATAATATGAGCAGGGGTTAAAATTATAACCTCGTTCCAGCTAAGCAGACAAATCAGGAAATTATTCTTTTTTTTTTTTTTTTTTTAAATAAAGAATTAGTAATAAAAAAAATTTAATTAAAAGGTCAATTATAAAATAACACTTTCAAGAACTAATAATTTCCAGTATTTTAATGACATTAAAATGCTTGAAAATTAATCTCACCAAGACCTTAATCAAAGTTGCTTAAGTTACTTTTTAAAATTTTTTTCTTATACTGTTAGTCTATTATTGGAAATACATTGTTGGTTTTTCTTTTTTTTTAAGTTTTGTTGTTGTTTTTGTTAATTTTTAATACATTAAAAAAAAAATATTCTTTTCAATTGTATTGTTTATTTCTAATTTTAATATTTTTATTGATGATATTGTTAACACTATTATTATTATTTTTATTAATTATTTCGAACTGCAAAAGCTGTTTTGCACAACTTTAATGCTCTACACGTGCGTCTCATAAATACATCAGTTGATTTAATACAAGACTCAGAACAGAACAGGACACAAGAAGAACAGAACAGGACACAAGAAGAACAGAACAGGATACAAGAAGTGAGCCACATTTAATGGTACAGAAAAGCAAGAATATCATTTCTTAAAAACCTAGCATTGATATATATTATTGGAAGAATTCAAATTAATTTTGATTTAAAAAAAACACCCATGCAAGAGCAACTCATGTTATCTCTTGTCTTATATTGTCTTTGAAGGGAGAAACTTTGGAAAAATTGGACCAAGTTTTCTGAGGTAAAACTGACAAATGAAAATATAATTTTCTAAGGTGTGAATAAAAAAATCAACATCTAAATAAAACTATAAAAATAAATCAACAAAATCATTTCGGTTAATTTATTTAATCAAGTTGCTATAGTGTTTTAGAATACTTTTATAATATCTGCACTCTGATAATACCTACTCTGGTACTTAATACTTGTTGAACATAATTATTTCTTTTTTATGGTGTTACACTTTATGGTGTTTGTATAAATTAGCTGATTTAAATTTTTTTTGTCTAATATAAGCATTTGAATATGGACATTAATAATGACTTCAGTCATCAGCAGATGACTGAAGACCTTAAAATACTGCAAAAATGTGCCTAATACAGCAAAAATTTGTATATGGATAAATTCCACACTATACTTCAATACTTTAAACTTTTTGACACAGTTCCACATTTTTTATTTAAACCCTGAATACAAGTAAATACATTACCCTGAATACAAGTATATAACTCAGTATTTTATTGAGGACCTTTTTATTTTATTATCATTTTTTTTAATATGGCTTTATTTGTAAATATTTCTTTTTTTGCAAAAAATACCTACACACAGCATTTTTTACGCTAAATTTCTTTACAGCAGGCGCCGGCATACACACACGATTTCACGTCTTTATATGACCAGGCAAATTACATTTTGCTATGACGATTTGACCGCCGCTTATTGAAAAAGTGAAATTATTTACATCAAAACTTCTTAACAAATGTTTTTAATAAAGTATCAATTTACTGATGTTTTTTTTTTTTTTTTTAAATATAATTGACAGTTGTGTATATGTTTTTAATTTATAATATATAAATTGTTTAAGTGTGCATTTCTATAATAAACTTTATTAAAAATTAAAAAATTATTTTGTTTTTATAAACGATGACATTCTACGACTACGAAAGTCTCTAAAGAATTTTAATAAAAGAATAAGTAAATTTAATACATTTAAAAAGATAAACAAAACTTTGTTGAAAAAAAAGTTTTAGAAAGCCGTTACAATTAAATAAGTTTGATCTTTTATGTTATCGAAGCTTTTAAATTATCGAAACGCTTTTCAATGAAGTAACAAAACACTTCTAATTAATTTTTTCAAATAAGTATTTATGAAGTGTTTTTTTTTTTAATTTATATAATTATGTATTTTTTATAAGAAATGTTTATCTTTTGAAACATATTTAAAAAAAAAGTACAAATGTTAAAACAAAGATTGAAATGGTTTTGTAATGCATAAATAAAATCGACTTTTTTTTTCAAGCATTTTAGTTTAATGAGTTTCGTTTTAGTTGGATTGTAAATATATTTATTTTTTTGTGTTTTTATTTTAAGTATTTTTTTTGTTTTCTCTTTCTTTGGGATTTTTTTTCTTTTTACAATTTTTTTTTAGGTAAGTTTTGTAAGTTTTTGTAGCGCATTTTTAAATTTTGAAAATCCGTGGTCAAATGGCTAAAACATAAATTTCTTTTTTTTTTTAAATTTCTTTAATTTCTATTTAAAGTTAAAAAATTAAAGAGTATAAAAAAACTTTTAGTTTCAAAATTTTCCTTTATTTCTAAAAAATAATTATACATTACTGGTGATGGCGCCCATCAATTTCTGCTCATCTGTTATTTTCATTTTCTTGCTTATGGTTGACCATGCCTTTAGCAATTCTTGTACTGAAATTAATAGTCTTGTCTGAGTTATATCAGCGCTTAAAATAATTATTTAGAGGTTGCCGATCTACACCGATTGACTGAAATGATAAGAATTGAAAAGTAGACGATCAAATATTTTCTTAGTTTGTATCAAATTTTTATGTGTAGCAATTTTTGCATCACATTTTTTATGTCTGTGCTTGATAACACTGCTTATACCGCAGAATTCCCACTTTTAAAACTCCGAAACAAAAAAAAAATTAAAATAAAAACTTATTCTGGGCCTTGTTTCAAAGTGTCACATTAATACAAATAAACCTTTTAAATAAATTTTTTTAAAGTGGTTTGTTATAAAGACACATTAATGAACCTTTAAAAAAAAAAGAATAATTTTTTTTATAACATTTATTTCTAGTATATTCACCGCTCATGCTCATGGCCTGTTAAGGTTATAAAGGCTGAACAGTGCAAAAAAAAAAAGTGATCACATTCGTGTGCGTAAATGGAATTGGGGGAGGGGGTTAGACCACCAAGCATATAAAACTTATATAAGGTAGGGGGGGGGGGAAGACCTCTAAGTGTACATACTCATGGGGGAAGGGGGTTATAAATATATACAAGTTATAACAAGAGAAAGTGGGTCAAAATCTGGAGATTTTTTTGGAGTTTAAACTAAACAACTGATTAGAACATTGTAAATAATTGTTTAGTAAAAACATTATTTAAAATTGACAAAAGCAATCCATCGTGTACCTAAAAATAAAACTTTTGCAATTTATATTTTACTTTTTAGTCAACAAATTTAAGAATATTAGTGGATGCATCACACATAACTAAAATGGTAAAAGTATAACATAAATAAATCAAGCAAAATAATACCAGAGATTTTCTTAGGTCAGTAACCATCAATGTTATATTCATCATCTTCTAAAATAGATAGAAGTTCATCGAGCTGCCTTAATTTTTTAGGTGATTTTTTGTAAATGTAATGCATTCTGAAAATAATGCAATCAACGCCATTAAATGATTTAATCTTTCCTAATTTATCTTTTAATGATAACGCAAGACGATGTGCTAGACACCAACCAAATGTGACCCATTGAATTTCAGTCATGAGTAACATTTTAGCACCTGATTTGCCTCCTTTATTTACAGATGCACCATCTACACCAAAACCAACAAATTTGTTATTTCAATTTTCAATTTCTATATTCTCAAGTGATTCGTTTATTGTGTTAAAAACTCTGTGCCATGTTCCATATTCAAAATCTGAAAATGAAAGAAAGTCAGATTTAACACATACTTTTAATTTTCCAGTTGGGATTGGACTAAAGGTGATAACAAACGAAAGCCTCTTTTTCCATAATTGAAATGTCTTTAGAACTGTCAGTTAGAATAGTAAAAAACTTTTGAATTTTTTAACAGATATTTTAAAGCTCTTTCGTCAAACTCAGAGCAATGTAGTCAATGAATGTTCTGCAAATATTTTTGTGCTTCTAAGCTTGACCAAAAACTACACTATGTATCTCTTGTAATTAAATTATTTTTAGATATAGACCAAGCAAAAGTTCTTCTTTTGCTATAAAGTAAGCAACCTCAAATTTCTTTATTCACACCTTTTGTTTTCATAAATACTAGCTGCCATGACCCACAAAATACAGGTCTTGGGAATCTATTCCACACCGACCTTTTCTATACTTAATCCTTACTAAATAATTAGGTTCATGTAAAACATAATTGAATATTGAACAAAAAAAAAAGCAATAAAAATTAAAAAACAACTTACTTATATCTAAAATAAGGTCATCTTCAGCTTCTATAAAATTAACAGCTTGTTGAGAAAATTAATATAAGTATCTTAATTATGACACATGCTACAAATTTTCCCCCATTTTTTGAATTGTTTCTAGAATTTTTAGCTTTTTTCAAAATCTATTCGTTTGTTAAAGTGTATAATATTGGTACATATGTTTGTATATAATGTCAATAAAACTTCAAAAGTATTTTTTATTTTAAAAAATCTAAAAAAATTAAAAAAACTCGAACCATGCATCTTTTTCCACCACTCCTATCTGGCGTGTACCCTTTTAAAGTCTGAATTTGAGAAACATATTCTTGGCATACTCTGCATTTTAGCTCAGTAACTATTCATCAACACTCTATTTCAAGCCAATTGTTAACATTATATTTTGCAAGTGTAGAATCTTTCCACTTATTAACTGATTGTAGTTGTAACTTTCTTTTGTAAACTTCTTAGCAAGTGTTTCAGATCCTGATTTCCTTTTAAAAGAAATATATTTCTGTAGTTTTTTTCTGCATCCATTTTATTATTATTTTTATACTTTTTATATAATTTTACTTCTAAAACTTATTTTCTAAAAATTTTAAACAAAACATTTTTATTTTGCTTCAAGCATTATGATGTTATTAAGTCAACATTCTCTCTACCAATCATAAACTAGCATTATTATTTTTCAAAATTTTTCCTAGAAACATTATTGTTTATAAATGGTAATGCAAATTCAATTCATTAAAAAAAATTCAATTCATTAAAAATATTTCATTAACGGAGAATAAATTTTTTGTATATATAAATTTTGTAATACCTTTATTTCTTTTTTTTTAAGCGATGTTCTACTTTTAACGTTTTAGTGTCGATGTTTAACTTTTGTCTTTTTAATATTTTTGTGATGTTTGTTTTAGAATGTTTTGGAATTTTTAATATGAAGTTTGACTTGCAATTCTTGCCAATCAAATTTGATCATCCAGAATTGATTTTGGAAGATCAAAACATCAATTTTTCCAAAAGTATATATATATATATATATATATATATATATGTATATATATATATGTATATATATATATATATATATATATATATATATATATATATATATATATATATATATATATATATATCATTTATTTGCTATTAATCTTGTATTTGTCTTTTATTTGTATTATCTTTGATTTTTAGTTTTTTGTTGTTGAACTTTTTTATTAGTTTTGATTATAAGCTAAAAAGAAAAGTGAAATTATTAATTTTAATTATTTGTGTTTTGATATATTATATATGTTGATGTTAAAGTAATTGGCTGTAAATGTTTTATTTGTTCGTTGTACCATTGTATTTTAACTCTATTCTGCATGTTTGGGAAATATACTTTATTTCTCCATTTAGTACCTACCAATTGGCTGATCACCCATCTAGTCTTCTTTTGTTTAGAAACTTGATGTGTTAAAATTTCAAATTTTTTATTACTTTTATTTTGATGCACATAAACTTTTTGCTTTTAAATGAAGGAGGCAAGCAGTAGTTTTTAGATACTTATGTTGTTTAAAAATTAAGTAAAAGCAATAATTTTAAGATACTTATGTTGTTTAAAAATTTAGAATCATGTAATAGTTCAATTTTTTTTTATTTTAGTTTATTAATTTTTTGGGTAACATTATTCTCTTGCTAAATAATTAACATAATCAATGATAAAAATTTTAGATATACATAGCTTTATAAAAACAATATATTATTTTAAACTAGTATATGTTTTCTTTAAGTGTTTTTGGCAGTTTTAATAATTGTCATAATGATTTTTTATAAGTTTAAGTTATTTTTGTTCACTACACTTTGCGGTAAAGGTCACATTTATCTGTTTACTTGATTTGTAAAGAAATCATTTCTTTCTATTTTTTTGTTTACATATTACTTTACTTTAATATGTGGTTATTGAGTTTTTTATAAGTTTAGGGTGCAATCAATTTCAATGTGATGGTATTAAGTGGTTTTTCAATTAATTGTATATGTTTTTATTTTTATTTTCCAAGCGTCCACTACAAATATATCAAGATTATATATCTTATGATTTTTTGAGTTAATGTAAAAATTGTTGTATACATTATAAAGGATTTTATAAAACAGTATTTATAATTATGTTTAAGTTTAACTCTTTAATTTGTAATTTTGGTTTATAACCAATGTTTCAAAAGTTTATAATTGCAATGTTTAGTTTTAAACTTTTAATATTGTATTAGTTTGAGTTTTAAATTGTTTAAACTTATTTGTACTTAATTTGCTAGTTTGAAGTGAACACCTTCTTGGAGAATTGTTTTTATAAACTAACTTGGCTGTTTTAATTTGTTTTTGTTTAATTTTAGCATTTATTTTGTATTCACTTAATGTGGCTTTGGCATTTGCATTTTTATCATCACTTTATGGAGATTTTATGAAAGTAAGTTTTTTGCTTCAATTTTAAAAGTTTTTATCATCATCATCATCATCATCATCATCATCATCATCATCATCATCATCATCATCATCATCATCATCATCATCATCATCATCATCATCATCTTTGTTGTTGTTGTTGTTGTTTTAGTTTTTTTGTTTTTTGTTTAAAAAAGGCTGTTGGTGCTTCCATACGAATTTTTGAGCTATTAGATAGAGTTCCTGAAATAAAGTCTGGAAGCATTGTTGTTAATAACACAAAAGGTGCATTTTTTTTAATTATTAGTTTGTGACTTAAATCTCTTCAAAAATTCTTTTTTTATATCTTTGTTAAATTTATTGACAGAACATGTTTTTATTTATATTTTTAAAAATATCAGAATTTTTTTTATAGTTAACATAACGTTTGATGATGTTGCATTCAGCTACCCAACTCGACCAGAAACTAAAGTTCTTAAGGTATTTTTTCTTATTTAATTCTTCTTCTTCTTCTTCTTCTTCTTCTTCTTCTTTTTCTTCTTCTTATTATTATTATTATTATTATTATTATTATTGTTATTATTATTGTTGTTTTTTTATTATTATTGTTATTATTATATTATTATTGTTATAAGTATTATAATTATGATTAGGGATGTAAGAAAAAAAGAGGTGTGACTGAGGATCAAATTTTACTTTATCAGAATAAAATCACAAATAGCAAAATACATACCGTAAAAATCCCTAATTCCAAACAAAATCACATCTAAAGTTGAATAACTCTGCGTGTTTTTTGAATTGCAACATAATTTTTTAAAATAAATAAACTGGGACCTAAACTGAATTGAACCATGTCAAGCAACAAGTATATTCATAATGATCTTGTTTTTATTTTTTAATTTTAAAGAGAGAGGTTTTTCGTTCGAAATTAGGGACACGTGTTCCTAATTCCGAACACACATCAAATCCCAAAAAATGGCATTTAATTGATAATAGTAAATAATTCATTCTTGCATAGACCTCTAGCTTAGAGTTAAATTAAAACATTTTAAAATTTAAACTAATTTTATATTTTAATGTAAGGATATAACATCATTGGTACAGAGTATAAATTATATATTTATTAGATCATGTTGTTGATTCCCTATGATTATTTAGATTTTACTTGATTTATGCTTCATAGCTTTTATTATCTACAGAGTTACAGAGCACGCGATGCTTTCTTTAAATTTTATTTAAACAAGAATAGGAGAGACAATAAATGGGTCTTCCATTATTTTTTTGTAATCAGTTGGAAAACCATAAATAATATCACAGCAATAGTGATCATTCGGAGGTGGCAACCATAGCTGTACTGAAAAAATTAGATATTTTTTTTATTTTAAAGAAAAAGTTGTAGTACCCAAAAAAATATTTTTTTAAAACATCAAGCTACGAAAATTTAAACTAATAAAGTTATTCACTAGGGCGAGCTAAAACCATACTTTTTTTTTAATTTTGCCAAACAGCACTATGTGGAGTTTTTGAATTGGTATAATAAACTTTGTAGGCAATTTTTTTTTTTACACACACCCCTAGGGGTTGCACCACACACCCTAATTTTTTCACAAAAAAAAATTTTGTAAAAAAAATTTTTTTTTTTTTTTTGGGTATACAGTCTTTTAACAAAAAAACTTAAAGCAAAAAAAAAATTGTTGCTCAAATTCAGAATTATTAATTTCATGCCTTAAAGTTTTAAAATATGATATCATGTTAGCATAAGGACTTTTGTTATGCTACTATGTAATTTTTAGATTATTTTTTAATTTGTAGATTTGTTACCACTGAAATTGAAAATATTTGGTGTAAATTCAGTTTTCCAACAATCGAAACAGAGGGAGTATTCTCAAAAGTATGTAGAATAATAGGGAATATTCTCAAAAGTATGTAGATTAATAGGGAGTATTCTCAAAAGTATGTAGATTAATGGGAAAAGCATCCAGTTTAAATAAAACTTCAAGACTTAAAAGAAATGCTTTTTTTTTATGACAAATTGAAAGGTTTTGACAACATGTTTGATATATGTTCATGCAATTGTTATGATTTAGGAGTAAAAAGAGAGAAATTTAGATGTACTTCTAAAGTGCCAATAAAAGAGTGGGATGCGTTTGTTGGGCAAAAGAAATACACAAATCAACTTAGACTACTTGATCGTGCCTACACATCTACTTTAAAGAAATTGTAACAAGGCAAAAATAATTAAACGCATAAAAAAATGTTGAGAAAGACATTGATAGACAAATTACTGATGACAATTTCTATGAATCTGAGAATAATATTATATTAGATAAATCTAATAATGAATATGACAAGTTATACGAATCTGATGTCATAAAAAAATGTAATCAAAATAGGTTTCATTACAATGAACTATCAATCATAGCAGATTGTTATCTTGTCAGTTACAGAGAAACTGCTGTTATTGTCAATGCTGAACTAAAAGACATTCATATACTAAATGATCAAATATGCTTGATAGGAAAAAAGTAGAAAAAGAAAGACTTTGTGTTGGACAAAAAAGTGTTAATGAAAGAAAATGCAAAAATTTGAAATTACAATGTATTGCTTTTGATGGAAGGAAAGACAATGCAATAACAACTACACGGATAATTAAAGAAGGACATATTACAATTGTTAGAGAACCAAGCAGCAGATATATAGATCATCTAACACCTGATAATGGAACTTCTTGCTGCATTGCTAATGAAATTCTCTATTTAATATTTGAAACTGGCAGCAGCTGTTCTTTAAATGCCCTCTTATGTGATGCAACTGTGGTAAATACTGGAAAATTTGGAGGGGTGATAAAATTAATTGAAACAGAACTTGAAAGACCAATGCAGTGGCTCGTTTGTCAACTATATTTAAATGAAATTCCCTTTAAACATGTATTTAAGTTGATTGATGGAAAAAGTTCTGGCCTTGGATCATTTAAAGGTAAAATTGGTAAAAAAATAACAGAGGACTTAACTAATTTAGCAGTTTCAAAAAATCAATGGTTCTTTTCAATTAATTCCAGATAATATCTTTAGTGAATTAAGTTTAGATCAAAAATATCTTTACAGTATCTGTTTATCTATTCAATCAGGAGATGTTTCAAATGAAATTACTAAAAATTCTCTCGGAAATCTTCATCATGCCTGATGGCTCACAAAAGCAAATCGTGTTCTACGCTTATACATTTCTACAGAAAAGCCAACAAAAGAACTTATTGACTTGGTTACAATAATTATGCAATGCTATGCATCAGAATGGCTCCAAATCAAATCAAATTATTTGGCAATCAATGGCGCTCGAAATTTTCGGTATCTTGCTCAATTAATTAAAAATGCAGTTATTAATGTAAAATACAAGGAGGTAATGGAGCAAGTTTTGAAGCAGAACTCAAATATTTCTAACCCATAGAATATTTTATTGGCAATGATAAGTTATAAAAGAAAAAATGTTAGAACTACAGCAATTCAAGTGTCTTGTGGAGGGAGAGGGGGTGCCATTACAACTTTTGCCAACTAAAAAAAAAAGGTCTTCGTTTTTAAATTTACCTACTAACTTGTCTAAATTTACCCACCAACTTGTCGAAAGGGTCTACGTTTGCTGACTAACTATTCAAAAAAGATCAAATTTGCTGACTAAATAAACAAAAAAATCATTGATGGGGGGGGGGGTCTCACACCCTGCACCCCTATTGCACTGGCCTTACCCACGAATACTTGTGAATGCAATAGGCATTTTAAACTTCCTACAATATTAAATCTTGGAGCCAAAGATTACTGTGAATTAATAAATTTAGATATCGAGGAAGTTCATTCACTACTTTTACTGAATGATTATTCAAATGAAGATATTTTAAAAGCCAATGACAGTAAATTAAATATCCCAAAGAATCCTTGTCATAGTCATAATATGAAAAAAATAGTTGGAGTAGTCACAATAGCATCAGAAAATAGATATGGCTACAAAAAACATCACAAATTTGTAATAAACCTGTTGGTATTGTGTTATATAAAAATTCCTAAATTTGATTGGAAAGCGCAATGGAAATAAGACATTTATAAAAATATGCATTTTTTTTATAGTCTATAAAAACATTTCATTCTACTTTGTTTTTTATTTCTAAAAGTTTTGTTTCTTTGCTTAAAAAAAGTAATATATGAACAGAAAGCATTTTAAAGCTTATATCCCTCATTTAACACCTTGTATACCTTATTCTAGTAAAATACCTAAAGTGTATTTTATTAGAATATTTTGTAGTGTACCTAAATGGTTACAATTATATAAAATAAAATAAAACAATTATAAAAAAATTATATATAAAATTTGCTTATACCCCCTTTTTCTCTAAAATGCCAAAAAATCCAATTTTGTGTGCGACCCCTTCGGAGGCTAGCACAGATTTTAAAATTGGTATACATCCTATACACATATATAGGAACCCCCACAATATGCTGCTTCTTAAAAAATTTTTTTGACCCGCCCTATTATTCACACTTCTTGCATGCAAATTCAATTGTTTTGTGATAATTGACAATACAAGGAATACACGACCAATTTGAACACTTTTTACATGCAACCCATTTGGTGCTTGTAGCTTCATCCCAAAGGATTCCGTAGGAATAACAATGACGATTGATTTGGTAGGCATTACAGCTTGCGACAGGAAGACACTCAATATTTAGTGACTAGTAGACATCTTTGTTGTTTCTTTACATTTCTGAGACCGTTTTAGGGGTTTCTTAAGTTTCAAAAGCTTATTTTCTTTTCTTTTTTTAACTTTTGTTCTTTGAGAATTTCTGCATCAATTTTTTTTTTTTCTTTCATATTTTTTCTGGCTACTTTTTCATCAAGTTTTTTTTTTTTAGCAGCTTGTGTAGCTTCATCCTGAGCCATTGCTGATAGTTCAGTCATGTTAAAACATGTTGTTCTTTTAATTATTGTTCCCATGTCTTACTACTGGAAAGAGGCATCAATCTATCTCTAAGCACAGTGAACACTGTTTTGTTAGTATAAAAAGATGCTTGTTTAACGGCATTATTGATGATATCTAATTCTTTGAGCAATACTTTTTTTGTTGAAAGTCTATTTATAGAGTTTTTTGAAATTTTTCCATCAGTCTTATGAAGTGAAACTTGTTAATCGGTAGACTTTTCAGAAAAACAACTCTCAATTTTGTCATTTGTTACACCTTGAAAAATAGCGCTGATTGCAGTTCTATTCGGAGTTATTTTTGAACGATTTAGTGGAAATATACCTTTACTTTTAAAACCACTATGTGCATTTTCCGCTTTGAAACCTTATTTGCAATAAGATCTTTTAGCATAGCAGGTAACTGCCGGTTACTTAAGCTTAAGTATGAATTTCTAACCAAATAAACTTCTACAACTCGCTTCCATTCCGCCTTAACTGTTTTAAAAACTCCAACATCTAGTGGTTGCAAAAAATGACTTGTGTGAGCTGGCAATCGGAATAAAATAATGTTGTTAGATTCTGATAATCTTTTTAACTCAAAATTGATGTGAGATGTATGGCCATCTAAAAATAGAATTTTAGATCCTTGATGCGTGAACTAAAAAAATTGAACGAAAAACTTTGAACGTTTGTTTGCGTGAACTAAAAAAATTGAACGAAACCACTCTATGAAATTTTCGCTTTCCATCCAACCTGACTTGCTGGTAGAATAATAAACATTAGAAGCGCCACCTTGAACCCAAGCTTTCATCAAATTTCGACCTTTGTAAATGACTTGATGAGGTAGGAAATTTCCGCAATAAGTTAAAATTGTAGTCATATGTTTTTCATTTGTTGGGGCAATTTGTTTTGGATTTTTTATCCCTTTTCAACAAACAATGCTGACTTTACCTTATCAATCCACTTTTATCACAGTTAAACACATGAAACGGCTTTTCATTTAAATTATGCTCTTGAAAAACAGCGTCAACTTGATTGAACCATTCATTAATAATTGCTGGTTGCGAAGACAGCTTGCATGCTAGCAGCCTTTCTTTGACAAATGTTTTTTGCATATTTTCTCATAAAACTACTGTACCACTTTTTAGTAGATTTACCAGTCTTGAACAAACGAGTTTGGTTAGATTCCTTCAAATAGTTTTCGACCACAGTTAAAATATCATTTCTTTTTAAGCTGAAGCCAATGTCACTCATAAACTGTACAAGTTCAACTATAAGCCTCTCTTTTACTTGTCTTATTGCTCTTGGCTTACCAACACCAGTAGCTCCATTTATTCCTTTCAATCTGCAAATAATAATTGTTTTTGGAATGTTATAGCATAAAGCACTTTCTGAATATGACATCTTTTTATTATCAATAGCTTCAATACAAAGTTTAATTTTTTGTTCGCGATCTTCATTATTTTCAATTTTGGCATTTTTTTTTATTAACAAACGTTACAAGAAGTTTAGAAATTCATTAAAAACGTTTAATGTTTAACTTTTAAAAGTTCAGGCCATTAAAATACTATTGTTGAAATTTTTTGTTAATTAATTGCTTGTAAAAATGCAAACATTTGCGCATTTTAAAATCTGTTCGGAATTTGGAAAACTTTTAAATTACGCAAAAAAAGTACTGTTTTTTAAATATCTTATGAAGTATTGCTAATTTTCCTAAAAAATTCAAGCAAAATGTTTATTTTTTACTCTAAACTTCTTTGTTTTACAAACCCTAAAACCCCCTAAAAAATTTCAGGGTGCTGCCCCGAGAGAATTGTTTGGAATTTTTCTAGAATATCTTAGAATGTTGTGCGTTCGAGAAGCTCCTATAGAGCTGTAAAATTTTCTTTAGCTGTTTTGTAGTGCAGTATAAACTGATATATAAGTGAGGTGTTTAAAGCAGATAACTAAGTTCTAATTAGCTTAATTTTGTGTCAACACTATTATTGTCTAATTAAAAGAGATTTTTTATTATTTGGTGAGCTGCATTAATATTTGTGCTTTATATACACACATATAACTGAGCATATAATATTTTATTAGTGTCCTCCTAAAAAAGACCTTAATTCTCATAAATTATACTTGAATTTCAAAAATACTCCTAAAATCTCCTAATTTAAACTTGTTTTTTGAACTTGAAGTTTTCTTTTGAACTTAAACTCAAATTTTTTATTAAATTTTTTCTTAAATTCTCATAAATAGTCTTTTTTTTCCAAGTTTCCCTGTAAATCTTTTAAAAATCCTTCAAAATCCTAAAATCTTCTAAATTCTTCTAATTTTTTAACTCAAAAAAAGTGTGGCCACCCTGAGAATATAACATGTTTAAAAAGAGCTATTTTAACAATGAGAAGAACAAGGAAACTTGGAGAAAAAAGTTAACTCTGAAAGTAGCATGGGCTCTGACTCATCTGAAAGCAGCTAAGATACTCAACAAGCATTGCAAGACGCCTTATTGCAATCTCAAAGCTGTCTTCCCACAGAGTAGCAAAAGTGTGCTGCCAGCTTTCTGGTAAGGGAATTGAAATCTCAACCCCCATTCCAGTCAGAAATATAAAAAGCTATATACATAAGAGTTGCTCAGCTGAAAAAACACTTGGTAAGCACGCTTTAGCTGGAGAAATGGACCATTGATTTTGACGGCAAACACATTGATGACTATAAATATCAGGCAGTGGTCCTCAAAAATGAAGCAAAAGAAGTTGACTGCTCTCAAACAATAGCAGAAGGTGTTAGAGGAATTCAACCTGTGAGGATCAATTGTGATGATTGTTGCCAATAAAACAAATGGGAATAAAACCCAAGTTCATCAGCTGCCAACACCATGTGCTGGATCACATTCTTCACATTATCATGGGTGATGAGTTTAATGAATTGGCTAAATCACCAAACATTGAGTACTTTTTTGTGAAATTTTGATAAATTGAAATCAGCCTTCAGCAACAGTAAAAATGAGGTTAAGGAAACAGGCAGCTGAAAAGACAACATGAATATTTTTTATCATCTCATTTGTGTCTTCTGTCACCACACTGAAATGACTGAGATAGCCTTCGTAAAGTTTTAACAGACACCTAACATCAACAATGTATGCTGGAACTCTCAAGCCATTCTAGCCCTTCTTGCGTTGATTCTGATTCCTGAAACTTGTAACAGTCTGCGTTAAATCTAATCATTCAATTCCTACTTATGGGCTGATCATTGATTCAGCAGTCAATTGTTCCTCACTGAAGATTTCCATGAACTATCTGCAGTGCTGAATGACTATCCAAAAGGTCTCAGATTCTTGCAAAACCCCAAATCCCCAATCAACTTTGCCCTAAGCAACCAGTGTTGTGAGTGTGTGATCAAAGTTTTGCAAGACCTGAGTATGACTCTTGCAGCAAAAAGACAACCTCCCGCTAGGATTCATCCTGTTCAGTGATATTATTGTAAATAATTGACTTACTTGTGTGTTTGATGACCCTATAAAATGTTACATATATGTGACTCTAAAGCTTGTGTTCAATTTTGTAACTGCTTAAAGACCTCAAAAATTAGGCAAAAAAGCTAATTAAAAAAAGTTTTTAAATCATTTTGTGTGTAAGATTTTTTTACCTTGAAAGTTAGATTTTATCTGATTTTTAATGAAAGCTCATCAAACTATGATACAAACCTTTTTTTTCTTTTTTTTTTATGTTTTCTATGTTTGTATTGTTAGGTGATTAGAGAACATTTATTGATGGCACCTACTTTGTCTGATTGTTTTTTCAGAATTAATCTTGGGTAAAGAAACCAGATTTTAAAAAAGATTACAAAGATAAATCGTTTTTTATGATGAAATATATTCTAAAATTCTATTTTCTCTATATAAATCAAACACAATGCCACCAATCATATAATATGTATGTATTCATATTATAGTAATTAAAAATGAGCAATTAATTGATATGAATTGTATCAATTTGATGTTTATGGATTAAATACTTATGGAAAAAAAATCAAAGTTACAAGTTTTTGAATAAAAAGAGTGGCATTAATAAATAATATTAGCAAGTGATAAAAATCTCAAAAAAGATTTTTATATCTTAGATAAAAAAAAATGCGATTTAATTTTTTTAGGGCCTAAGTTTCCACATGAAGCCTGGAGAAACAGTTGCTTTGGTTGGTCCTTCAGGTGGTGGAAAAAGCACTGTTATGAGTTTATTAGAAAGATTCTATGATCCATGCAGTGGAACAATATATGTTGGTATGTAAATAGTTTTGACATTTTTTCCACATGCGTAGAGATTATTAAACCCTTATACCATTTATTTAATTGAAAGAAAAATTCTGAACTTAACTACTTCCTACTTTAAGAAAGAAAATTGTCTTTTCACTGCACTAGATACGCAGATTTAGCTAATTAAGTACGTATGCACTTGACATTAGTAATTTCTAATACAGAAGACAATTGTGAGACATTTCTCCAAGGTGTTTTTCCAAATTAAGTCTATATTAAAGTTCTCATTAAGATTAATATAACCCTCATTAAGATATTATTTGCAAAGAAAATAAGGCCCTGTAAAACGGATCATAGAAAGCTAAGTATATCAAATAAGTTAACTTATTCTGTTTTTCAGCAACACTAAACATTAAGCATTAAACAGAAAAAACTCATATATAGCAAGTACTTTTCATGAAGACTGATAATATTGGATTTAGATAATTCAATATAAAGTGATAGTAAATTGTGGAATAAGATAACAATGTAAAAATTACTACAATTTGAATTGCAATTTATTTAAATAGCTTTTAGTAAATCGTATAAAGATTGATAATTTTTCTTTACCTTTAGAAAATGATTAAGGATTTAAAGAATTGAAAAATGAAATAAAATTATTTTTGAAAACACTGAATACTTATTTAAATGTCATATAAATCATTATTTTTAATTTTTAAAATTCAATTGAAAAATCAAAAATACACAAAAATTTGTGACAAAATTTAGTCACATTAAACAATAAATAAGATTACTTACTTTGTGAGATTGCTTTTTTGAAATTAGAAGGCTGGAAATACTTTTGTTTTTAAAAAAGCAGTTTCATTAACAATGCTCAATATAAAAACACATTAAGATAAAAAACCAGACATTTATTCAAAACTATTTCTTGGCTTTTAGTGAATGATTAGAAGATCACTTCATTTCAGTAATGAAGTGACTTAATAGTCATTTTTTACTATAGACCTAATAGTTATTTTTAACTATAGACACCAACGTGAAGGTAATCCAAGCTATCTATAAACATAAAACATCACAACAACAACATAACATAATGACAAACAAAAACACCATTTGCTATTTTTTATTTTAGTTAAAAATAAGAATATATACAACTGCTACTATATATATAAATATACAGTCGCTTACTTTGAAAAAAGTCTATAACTTGTTCCTCACCTAAAGATAAACAAATCTCTTTATAATTTCTATATAATAAAATATTAAGCTGAATATCTCAGTATCACTTAAATATCATCTCTTTATATTTATTTAATAATTTTATATAAAATTAATTTTTTATATGAAAGAATACAAAAATTAAACGAAAGAAATAAAACTTACTTATTAGTTCCTTGATAATCAATTTAAATAGGAAAAGATAGCACGAAAATTTTTTAGTGGATTAAGGGTACAATTGGCGCTTAAATCATGATACGAAAGTCAGATAATTTTTAAATTGAGCTGTTTTTATTACCAGTGGATTAAATTAGATGACCGCAAAGTCTTACAGTTTTACAGTCATTTAAGAATCATACCATAAAATACCATAAAGTATTCATTATATTATGCAAAATATTACTAGGCATTGTGCTTTTAGAACAACTAAAAAAGGTTTGACAACACAACTTAGCTCTACATCAGTAATACTATTTGGCACTAATAGCGTGGCAGGTTAGTGAAAAAATCTTTCAGTTAATGATACAAGCACCAAACTTGGCAGGATTGTAATTTAACTATGTCTTTGACAAAAAAGCACATTAGCCACAAAAAAAAAATCAAAATGGCTGCCATTTTTAAATTTTCTGCTGTGAGACCCACATGGGGTTCAGTGTCAACTGATATATAATTTAATACTTTTCAGTGTCCCAATCTCCATTTATAGTATTATTATTAATATTTTGTAATAATGCTGTAAAATAGTGAAATAGCCGCACCTGAATAGACAGGATGTGCCACCATGTGGGAGAGCCGAGCCAAGGATAATGGGGCATCAGTTGTCCCGATGGTGTAAAGATTGGACAGAATTTTATTGATACTGGATGAACGATCGAGCTAGATGTAGGATTGATGTTAAAGATCAATTCGAATCTAGTTGTATTCCATACATCAATGTGCTTTATCTAAGGTGGTAAAAGGATAAACCCTAGGCCTTGGAATATTAGTAAGATTTATATTGTAGTTTGTTATGATTTACATTTTGATCTGATTTCATGCAAAACGTTTGTTAATTATTATGTCAGAATTGAATGTGTTAGCTTCCCCAACAGCAACTGACTGGAGTAAATGTTGTCTTTCCCAGTCAGAAAAGAGGAAGAGTTAAAATCACCTCCTTCCAGATATGAGGCTAGAGAAGACAGAGACGGATATGTCATGATTGTAAGAAAGGTTCCTTTATTCAAGCACATTAACAGGTTACCAATTTTACTTGATCCTGGAAGATTAGACAAAGGAGATGGAATAGAGAGAACACTCTGCAAAATTCAAGCAATGTATCACCAAAGTTGCAGACTAATGTTCAGCAATAGCAAGCTTGACAGAGCAACTAAAAGGGTAGCATCCTCAAGTTTAACAGAGGTGACATCAGAAAAAAGTAGACGATTAAGTATCGAAAAACAAGTGTGCTTTCTTTGTGAAAGGAGTGAACCAGCGGCAGATCTTCGACAAGCTATGACAATGCAGCTAAATAAGAGATTAAAGGAATGTGCAAGAACATTAAATGACAGGAAGCTGTTAGCACGGTTAAGTGGAAGAGATGTAGTAGCCCAAGAGCTAAAGTACCACTGTTCTTGTTTAACAGCACTCTATAACAGAGAGAGGGCATTACTACTAAAACAAGGGGACCAGGAAAGTCAAATAGATATCGAAAAAGAAGTGGTCCCTCGGGTTTTTTAGAGCTTTTAGTATATTTAATAGAGACTAAAACAAATGCAGCTGAGCCCGTGGTTTTTTGGCTAGTCGATTTAGTAACTCTGTACCATCAACCATGACAACAACTTGGAGTCGATGATTATAATGTCAATTCAACCAGACTCAAAGACAAACTTTTAGCAGAAATACCAGAACTAGAAGCATACAAGAAAGGCAGAAATGTCCTGACATTTAAAGAAGATGTTGGAACAGTTCATCAAAGGCTGTCAACTACACCGAAGCCATTATTGTCTCAAAAGCAGCGCAAATCCTTCTCTAGCGAATGATGGGTCATAAATCATCATTTACTGGAATCTTCAATGACAACTGTGTTGAGGATTCGATACCACCTAGGCTTCTTCAATTCGTTTCCATGATCGAACATGGAGCTGATATAAAATCCCAATTACAACTTGGACCATCCAAAACTGACCTAGCCATGGCCCAATTACTTCAGTAAAACTGCTATACTAAATATCAAGAGGAGGGTAAATTGTTGCGACATTCAATAGATCTGAAACCCCCTTCCCGGTGTTTTAGGGATTGTCTATTTACTCGAAAACCAGAAAGAAACATTTAGTGGAGTTACTTCATAATCATGGTGTAAGCATTTCATACAATAGGGGGCTTGAGATTTCAGCTCAGTTAGGCAATGCCGCTGTTTGCAAATATAAAGCAGAAGGTGTGGTATGTCCAAATATTTTAAGAAAAGGTTTGTTTTCAACATCAACGTTTTCATTCCATGGAATATGTGTTTCTATATTCCAACACCCAACTTTGGAAAATGAGGGATTATTACAGGAACCATGGCAAACACCAATGTTTCACCTGCCTTTTTTGGTACCAAAAATCCAAATCTCCCACAAGTCGAAAATCAAGCTGCTTCTGCTTCTACTTCTTCAACACTGCTTCCACCTCTTGTTCTGAAACCGGAGTATGATTAGTTGCAAAAGGTTAGTCTCACAGAAACAGTTAACACAGAATTGATATATCTTGGTCTTCACATCATGCTTAATTGAAGAGAAGTCTTTCTTTCAAAGTGACTATTTCATCGCTATTACCTCTCTTTAGAGAACAAGCTCACTCTGTTACAACAGTTTGTCATTGTATGGACAACATCAAGGGAGTTGTGTCCTATCTTAAATTAGACCAAGTCCCTGTAATTGCTGTTGATCAACCCATTTTTGCCATGGCAAAACAAGTTTAATGGCACTGGCCAGAGAAATATGGTGAAGATAAATTTGTCCTTATTTTGGTGGACTGCATATCAAGATGGCTGCTCTGAAATCAATTGGAACCCTTTTGGAAGATAGTGGTTGGACATCAGCTTTGGTTGAATCAGGAATAGCTACTATTGGTACAGCAGATTCATTCCTTTCAGCATCAAGCATAACAAGAACATGGCAGATGCACCAGGTGACAGCAAGTTGTTTATATAAATTGCTGCATGAGTCTTATGACATGTATTGTAAAGAAGCACAAGCTGATGACCAACTGGAACTTAGTTTTGATGATTGGTGTGACATGTGCAAGCATTAAAGTCCACAATTCCAATTTTGTTTTTATTATTTTGGAAATGGAGCTGACCATTCTATCATTAGTACGGTCTCTCAGAGAAGCCAATTTCGATTTATATTGCCAGGCTTTGTAAGAATTGTTGCCCTATTCTTTTGCAAATAACAACACCAATTATGCTTGTTGGTTACCAATCTATCTCTGAGATATGCTGCGTTTAGATCACATTCATCCACAGATAAAAACTGAGTTTTTGAAAGGCAATTTCGTGGTCCATAAATCATCTCGAGAATTTTCCGCCTTAGCAATTGATCAAGCCCATGAACACACAAATGCTGTTATCAAAGGCGAAGGTGAAACAATTGGTGTCACAGAAGATCCGTCAGCTCTCAGACAATGAATGGTTGCTGGTCCCGAGGTGAGCCATCTCGTTAGTACATATGAAAAGATATCAGATGGCAAAGATGATATTGAAATGCAACATCATGAGCAGACCACCTATGCACAAAAGACATTTCAGGAACGTGTAAATAAATTGTACAGTACTGTTACTAAGATGGGAA